AGCTCAATTTACAACCAGGCGTTTTTTTCTCATAATCCGCCCCCACACCATATTTATCCATTTTTACGTGATATTTATCCAAAAACGTGGATAAATATTTTTAATCGTGGTTTATTATTTATATAGTAAAACAAAATATATTTTTAAGCTTAATTGTAAATATTGATACAATTTAGTAGCATGTACATGTAGTATATTGCTTGTTATACCTTTTTTTCTATATGCAGTGATAAAAAGAGTACGATTAAGTACCGTAAATCCCGTATTTTTGCGTGAATCTTATTATTTTTTTAAAGCGTAGTTTTGTTAAAAAAAATCTCTACACACAATATTAAACATCTGTCTAACATTTTGCATGGATTTTTTAAAAAAATACTAAGTTAGTCCGTTATTGTACAGTTGTTTGTCCAGTTTCGTATGTAGAATATAAGGGTTTTTGGTTGTTCAATATTTTATTTTAAAAAACTGTATAGACTTCATAGGAAATACTTAAACGATAATTAATTCTAATACAAAGCACAACACAAAATCACTTGGCCACTATTTTGCCAAAGCCTAAATTCGCTACCGACTAACTTAAAATAAATAAATAAATAAACCAATACTAATAATAAGGCTATAAGTAGACATATATCCAGCGAGTGCTTTTGAGTACCTTTAAGTGCCCGCGAGTGCCTTTTAGTGCTTTTGAGTGTCATTGAATGCCAGCGAGTGCTTTAGAGTGCCTTTGAGTACCTTTCAGTGCCAGCGACCTTAAACAATCATATTTTGCCTGTATATGAAAAAACTCAAAATTTCAAAAAATTATATTTTTTTTAAATGTATTTGCAAATTTACATGCCAAAAACATCAACTAAACTCTTACATTTTCAAAATGTTTTCAAGTTTTCTTGCAATCTAACCTGAAATGTAAGCCCACTATCTGTTTGACATCACTCGCTAAAGTTTCAGTGTCAAGCACTTCAACAAAATATCAACATTAATTCTGACATCTCGTCCCTAATCGTTATGAGATCATTTTCAAGTCGATCTTTAGATGCTTTAGATCGAATTCGCCGTCGTCAATTAATTGGTACTCATTTGTTATAAGACTAATTTTATTAATGTTTAATGGTGAAAGAGCTATTTAGTACATTTAATTTAAATGTTAGGGTCATTGTGGCGACTCTTGGGGGAGATCTATGTCCAGCAGTGGACGTCCGTCGGCTGAAATTATGATGATGTTGAAAGGATAGGGGCACAACAAACAAATCTACTTGTTACCTTAGAAATACCATTGTTCCAAAATAGACGATTCTATTTGACTTAGAAATATTTTTCACGTTTGTTTGATAATAAATAAATTTGTTTTCCTTTTCTATTGTATTTTACTTCTTATCTTTTTTTCAGAACGTTCATTCTGTTCAACAATATCATAATCATAATCATCTATGGTAAAGTGGCAAAGTTTCTATATGTTGTGGAACAGATTTCAAACGTCGATTTCTTTGAACGTAACATATCCTGTGTGTGTATAACTTAGACTATTTTTTTCCATCCTCTAAGGTGTATAAGACGTAGGGCGCATTTATTCGACACGAATTTAACCGCGCTCGCACTGCGCGGTCGCCATCCAGAGACCGCGTTGCCGCCGAGCGGGTTAGAAGATGCAAAAGAAGTAGTATTAATATTAGTATTCAGATTCGCCATTAATGTACGTGAAAGAGTGGTAACTGTCCGGTTGCCGCGCGGAGGTCACGCGAATGTTTCGCGTCCTCTTAAGCCCAGTTATACGAACCGGGCGGTGATAAATCATCGTGATTTTGTCACGACTGTTACTTCCGTGACCTTGTCACGCCTATAACTTACATCACGATATACGGTTTTAGCCAGCGGCTTCTTTCTAATACTTATAGCCGTTTTTTATATAATGATTTAAGTTTTTACTCCCTTTGTAATAAGAATAAGTTTCGATTCCATTCAAAAAGTTGATTTTGTATTTAATGTAATTTTGCTTGTTACTTATTTAATGCGAATCTTTGGATTGTTAAAATAGTAATAAAGTGTAATGTAATTATATATCTAGTAGAATACGCAAAGTATATTACACATAAATATAAAATACCAACTCTATAATAAAACAAATATACAAAAATATTTCACTTTGTTCATAAATAGGTTTACAGTAACCGCTGCAGATTTTTTTCAACCGCCCTTTCTAGTAGTAATAAGCACCTACGACCCTTGTGAATGAGCAAAGAAAGTCATCCTATCTCATTCTCTCCCATCGCCGAAATGGCCCGATTTGAAGAGAACTACGAGTGGCGCGCTCAGTCACCACGGAACGGAGATCGCGCATTGTATCAAATAAGTATGTCGTGATGTGAGTGACCGGGATAGCTATTGGAACGGAGTAACATAGGTATGCATGAAATTAATAAGTACTTCGTACAACTGGACGGCTTACTGTGTATTGAAGCGTGCGCCGAGCGAGATGTCATAAATCTTGGTCCGTCTCTTTCTGACTAGTGGTAGACCTGTGGTAATAACAAACAGAGATGACGCCATATTATTTTAGTGTTGCCTAATGTAAAACAAATAAAACTTTCCAATAATATTTAAATATCGTGAAATAATATAAAGACTTTGATTTATTTGCGACCTATTGCATTCATAGTTGGTATGGTATTATTTACAAACATCTTATAATATTCATGGACAAAATGACGTATTGTTTTTATGCCAATTTTTTTTTATAGTCAACTACCGTATTGTATCAAATATCTCACATGGCAATTGTGCGAAAGGGACACACCAAGAAAGAAGATGTCTCACTTGAGCTCAGATCTCTAAGGAGATATTGGTTATTTAAAAAGTATTTTATTGCTATTCATTTAACGTTCATTTTGATATGTCAAAATAATTGCAGTGAGCTTTCCAGTTGTACGAAGTACTTATTAATTCCATGTAGGTATGTTACTTTGGAACGTCGTTCCTTCAGAACGAGTCACGGTGATACTGTTTGACGGCGGATCATCGTGATTTTGTCATCGTGAAGTTATTTATCATCCACCTCTAGTTACGATTTGAGTTCTCAAGTATTCGTTAGCGGTGGCTCTATAGCCAATATTCAATAAACACCTAAATAATATAATAATGGAGTCTGAGTCCGTATTTGTTCGTTTGAATGATAATGAAATTGTTATGATGACTAAAACGTAAGTATACTCAATAATTAACACTTCATATTATTACATAGGTACCTAAATTACAAGTTCATTTTGGCATTTTCATAACGTGTGGTCACCTCGCATTATACATTTTCATACATATAATAAAAAACTTTTAAACGTTACCTTTAAATAAGGTAACCAAGGTATTTGAAATTGCGTGTCCAAGTTGATCATCGTTAATTAGGTATATTCGCAACTTAACGTAATATTTATCGGCAAAATGAATTGAAAATCGAGAACCCTTGTCTACTAGCTCACGAAGTCATGGCGCCTCATTATATTGATACAATAAATCTGTATTTTTTATACATACATATATTATACTGCAGTAAATAAATGACGAAAACAATACCTGAATGAGCCGCAGACAAGTTTTTTTACTTACTTCGTTTCATCTTTCGGAAAATGATGATAAACTGCCGTACACAGCACAATTCAAGACCATTGTAAATAGTAACGTAAAATGATGTTTTATATTACGTACAAGTTTCGTAATGAATAAATGAAAACTTTATTCAAATATCACAGCCGTCTTCGCACGAAAAGATCTCGCCGGCAGCCTTAGTCGTTCAGTCAATGTAGCCGGCAAAGTGCGGGGCGTGGTGCAATATCCAAAGCTAGGGAGGGACAGAGAGTGTCCGTTCTCTCTACTTTTGTTCTCTGTCCAATAGCCAAGAAAAAGGAAAAAAAAAAGTAAACAAAAGTTTAGTTAGTTGGTTAGCTTTTGCAGTTTGTGGTTTTTGCCAGGGTAATTCGTTGTCACTTTTTCTACATTTTTGTTTTACTTCTGTAAAACAAGCTGGTTAATTTAATTCCGATGCTTTATTTTATTTATTTGCTGCTTTTTGTTTCTACAAATTGTGAAAATGCCATTACTTTATTTGGACCCGGGCTGGAACCGCAAAAAATTGTGCTGCCGGCAAGGTATTTCTTCGTGAACTTTACATCTTTCAATGAAAATTCGTAAGTAAAAGTTTGCTAATCATATACATCCCGTCATATGTTATTTATTCGTATGTCTGGCACTATTATTTTCATTATTTTTACCTGTATCTAATTGTTATTTGTAATTCAGTTTAAACATTGACCTATACTTTTTGCAGATATGTTCCTCAGCTGGGTAAAGACCTCGCGATTGAAGTTCTTGGTCGATCTAAAAAGGATAACCATTGCAGAGTGTGGGTTAATAAACTGGATCGTAAAGATGGTACTTTTATAGTGCGTTACAAAATGTATGAAACATGTTATGACGTATCCATTAATGTATACTACAAAAGCAAACATATAAAAGGATCCCCTTTGACATTTTCAGGTTGGTAAATATACCTCATGTAACTCTGTTACATTTTCATGTCTAAACTGCTGAACCAAATTTGAATATTATTTTGTTTTTTATAGAGATAGATGGGACCTAGGAGAAGGACATCGCTTTTTGGTACTAAAATTAATCCTAAAGTATAATAATAATAATGCACACACTCAACATAGCCCCGCACTAGGGAAACCCTGTGTCGCGGATGCAATGGACACACACATAGACAATGACAAATTACACCCAGACTCTAGTGAGAGAAATAAATGTAGGCTATACAAATATTTCTCTCGGCCCCGGAATCGAACCAAGGACCTCTGCGTGGCAGTCTGGCATGCTAACTGTTTGGCCACGGAGGCAGATAAAGTTAAAGTGAGTGAAATAGGGGATGAACGTTTGTATGGAGAACCAATTTCTTTAGTAGGAGAGTAAACTACTGAAAGTTCTTAATCTATGCAGACAAAGTTGCGGGCACTAGCTAGTACTACATAATAAGATACTATAACATTAAATATTTCAGGTCCTATTCTTCCAGATCAATGTAACTGTCCAGAAAAAAACTTCAACAAATGGCTACAGGATTTTGGGTGCCCAGCGTCTTATGAACAAATAGACCATGCTCTCAAACCTTTCTCAAAAGTAGACATGGAACAAGAAATAAAGAAAATAATAAAGAAATTTCATAGACCTGAGAGTACAAGTTTTTGTCACTATATAATCAAGGATAATCAAGTATATAGGGATTGCTATGGCAAACATGTTGGTTTTAATATGTTTGCTGATAACATACTTTTGTTTATGAGTAGAAAAGTCAATATGCCTGATATGGAGCTTGTAATAAACCTGGGTGATTGGCCGCTGGTACAAAAAGGAAGTAAGGAGCTTCCTGTATTTTCGTGGTGTGGTAATCATGATACCATTGATATTGTGATGCCAACTTACGATATAACCGAGTCCGCATTGGAGAACATGGGAAGGTTAGTGGTATAATCAATACTTGTACAATGTTGTTATGATTGACATTTAGTTGGTTTTGGACTCCTACTAGTTTGCAAATGCTGTTCTCCTACTAGACACTGTACTGTACTAGACATTGTACTGTACTAGACATAAACAAAATAGATCAAGGAATATTAAGTGTCGTGAGGGGTGTGAGCAATGCTTCTGCTCTGCTCTCATACTCTATGATCAAACCCAGTTTAAAGGTACCTTCCTGAGTGAAAAATGGTTTTCCTTCTTTCTTTTTATTAACTTTTAGCGGTTAACGTGTATCATAACCAGTGATTGGAATAGGTAGAGGTTTTTTGATGAACAGAGTCAGCATTTTAACTTTGTGACTTGATTTTCACGTCATTTTCAGAAAGTCGAAGTTTTCCTAAATAATCCGAAAAATTGGTATTGCAACAACTCATCACAAAGTTCAGATAAATATAGTCTACCTACCTATCGCAAATAATGTCAATTTTTTAACGTACTTAAGAAATTTCCCCGATCTCGAAAAGATCCAGAACCTAAAAAATATTGTTGTAAGGCACTCTCCATTTTCTATGTTCCTCGAAGTTTAGGTAAAAAAACTACCTACCTTTTCTGATCACTGATCATAACCATTAGTGTGAAGATGTCCTAAATAAATAAATAAAATGTCAAAAATTTATTTGGAAACTTAAAAAACTAAGTTGGCGTTAATTACAAAGTAACATTCTGCCCTTACTGCGCCGTATCTGGAGCGCATGCTGTCTCATTGTATATTTTACATACCTATAAAAATAATGTTTTATTATACATTGCAGAGTCACATTAGATACCTTGTCAGTGCAAGGCAGCATAGATCGTACATGGCCGCAACGCGAGTCACGTGCGTTTTGGCGTGGACGCGACTCCCGTGAAGAAAGACTTAAACTCATCGACATCGCACGGGCTAACCCGGAACTGTTCAATGCATCTCTTACTAACTTTTTCTTCTTTAGAAACAAAGAAGCAGAATATGGTCCCAAACAGCCTCATATTTCTTTTTTTAAGTTTTTTGATGTAAGCCCTGTTTTGAGTTTATAATGTTCCCTTATATAGAAGTTTTACATTACTTGCCATATATGTTAAAAAGCCTTTGAACTTCCAAAATATATTTCTTTCATGGGAATTTAGTAATTGCCTGCATGGTCGAACGGTTACCATGCTGAACTCCCATGCAAAGGTCCAGAGCTCGATTCCTGGGCCGGGAGAAACATTTGTATGGTTTACATTTATTTATCTCATCAGTTGGGTGTAATTTGTGATTGTTTATGTATGTGTGTTCATGGCACCCGCTATACAAGGTTTCCCTATTGCGGGTCTATGAGTGTGTACGTTTAAAAATAAAATAGCAGCAGAGTTCCTTGTGAAAAAATTCATCCAGGGAAATACTGCTCTAATACCTATCTCTGCCACCAGGAATTAATGTGAGCATAACTGCTTTCCGGTTTAGAAGAGCATGGGTGCTGTGCTATCACATGGGACTTGTCTACTTTATGTCTCAAGGTGGCGGGCGCAGTGGCAGTGCTTCTCAGATCTTAGTGATTTAAACACTGTGGATTTAAAGGTCTCACTGTAACTGTTATGGATAAGGCCTTACCACCACGCGCATGATTTGTTCGTCTTATGATTTTATATCATAAAAAAACATGGGCCCTTTACAGACTTTATTTTATTCCAGTACAAATATCAAATCAACATAGATGGGACAGTAGCGGCCTATAGATTTCCGTACCTTTTAGCTGGCGGTGGCTTAGTTCTAAAGCAGGACTCGCCGTATTATGAGCATTTCTATCCCCTACTCAAGCCATGGGAACATTACGTACCAGTGAGACGTGATCTCTTGGATTTGAAAGAACGTGTGCTATGGGCTCTAGAACATGATGATGCAGCCTACAGAATAGCACAGAACGCTAGAAAGTTCGCCAACGAGAATTTGTTACCGCAGCACATTGTTTGCTATCATGCTGTTTTGTTTTCGGTAAGTACACGTGATGGTTCACAAGGTTGTTGACTTCAATGTAAAATGTTGAGAATAGCTTATCTTCAGTTAGAAATAGAGTGTTTGTGTATGAATTCAACTTTCTCTGCTTGTTAAGTCTAAAAATGTCTTCTCCAAGCTCTCGATATTCTCTCAAAAATGACGTCACGCGAGTTAACCGTATACAGCGTGAGCAGGCATGACTATATCGCACATTAATTTATTTATTTAGATGAGACGAAATTTTGTTTACAAAAACTTCTTTCTTCGCGAAGAAAGATGGTTTTCTATACTATAAGGGCGCACTCAAATTAGCCGCTGTTATACGCGGTGCAGCATCGCTACAGTCGCGCGACTGTCGCGCTGCTGAAGGGCGACCAAATTTTTAGATGTTTTTTCTTTCGACTCAGTTACACGATGGATTCTGACGAAAAAACGTTACTTTTACTTCTTTTGCTAAAACTGAAGAAAAAGAATTAAAAATAATACCAGAACGTATTAGAATCCGTTCGTTACCTTTATTTTGTCAAAATAATCAAAATGAATACTACAAGCTTCGGCAATATAGTTAGGGGGGTCAGAGTTCATGGGGCACACACTTCACGCATAGGTATTAAAAATGACTCGCCTGCTATGTTTTTTCATTTGTACTTTTAGTTTTAAAATTGTCAATAAATTTTAGACATAAATTTTCCCATGCCTTTTTTTTCAGTCGATTATAATAACTAGCGGAACTGATATCCCATATTGCAGGGTGTTGTTTTGCATATACACACATCAAAAAAAGTTTGCGATCACTTCGAAAAACTGAAATCTTTTTTGTTACTGTAGATTATATTATGATTTTTTCTTCTTTTTAGATTCTTTATTTAAAAATAAATTAGAATATAAAACAATGACCCCGTTCAATTGTTTTTTCATATAAAAAGGCTTTCAGTCCTAGCTTACGCTCATTCAGAAATCTGATTTAGTCAATTATAAGCGATTCAAGATATTTTTCGCGGAAAGTTGTGATTGAAAAAATGCCAAGAGGATTATCAGAGGTTTTACGAGCTAGAATAGTAACTTTGAGGGAAGAAGGATACACCACGAGAGTAATAGCACGCAGACTTGCTATATCCCAATCCTGGGTCGTGGCTACGTTGCAGAGGTATCACGGAATGGGGAATTTAGCTGACCGACCCCGCAGCGGTCGCCCAACTGTTTTGACAGCTGCCCAAAAGCGCTATATTAGATTGCTGGCAGCCCGTGATCCAACAATCAACGCCACTAAAATAAAAGCAGAAGTCAGGGCCGCCTCTGGGCTTGAAGTTAGCACGCAGACCGTTCGCAATTGCTTGCACCAGGCTGGATTACGAGCACGGAGGTCTTGGCGAGCTCCGCTCAATTGCCGGCAACGTCAACAACGAAGATTGCAGTGGGCTAGACTTGGGCAAAATGAAGAAGGTGAGGACGAAAACATTTGGCAAAACTGTCTCTTCGTTGACGAATCCCGAATCAGCACTCATCCAGATAACCGACGTGTCCGTGTCTGGAGAAGACCAGGCGACCGTGAAAGATAAAGAACTGCCACTAGAACAGTTCAGCAAGGCGGAAAATCGGTGTCCTTTTGGGGTGGCATTATGATTGGAGCTAGAACGCCTTTGATCCCGTATCGGGGCTTCATGACAGCAGACATGTACAAAGCAGTTGCTATTGATGATATCGTCAGACCATTCCGAGTAAACCATGGGCACCAATTTGTACTGGTCGATGATAATGCGCCCGCACATCGAGCTCAACGAGTCAATGCTGCTCTTCAAGAATACGATATCACACGATTAGACTGGCCTGCCGGCTCGCCCGACTTAAACCCAATAGAGCACGCGTGGGATGCTCTTAAACGAGCAATATGGAACCGTGAGCCACGTCCCCAGACAGTTCCAGAGCTCAGGGAAGTCGCTTTTGAAGAATGGGATAGGTTACCCCAGGAAATGCTGGATAACTTGATCCTCAGCATGCCCAGGAGGATCTTCGCATGTATTCGAGCCAGGGGAGGAGTTATTTTATATTGAATGCACACCTTTTAATAATAAATTGTTGTTTAAGTTTAATTAAACAGTCTTTTTCTTTCTATGAAATTTCTATCACTATTACATTATTATTAATGGCTCAATTTTTTAAAATAAATAATAAAAAATAGTTTTATATTTTAATTTCAAACAGGGTATTCCTATTTAAAGAAAGCATACAACATAGATTTTTTTTTGATAAAGTTAAATTTAAAGAATTATAGGAGCTTATGCTATTGATCGCAAACTTTTTTTGATGTGTGTATCTCTATAAATTCTTCAACTCCATTTTCGTCCATCTTAGTTAATTTGAAAAATTAGCATGTACACCTCACTAACCGTGACTGCAGCTCGGCAGTCGCGCGGCTAATTTGAACGCGCCCTTGGTCTTCTATATTTTTTGGTCCATGTTAAAGCCCGTGAGATGTGAAATTGTGTGTTTATCTTCGAAATAATTTTGTTCTAAGACATCGCGACCGAATCCTAAAGTGGAGAATGATTTGTTTCAGAAATGGAGCAAACGCATAGTGAATAAAATAACGGTTCCAGATGATATGACTCGAGTCACACAGCCAAAGTTCGAATGTGATTGTGACTTTAATGCGCAAAAAAATCGCGAAGAGTTATGATAAAATTTTAATATAATAGGATACTTTTTCTCTGCTTCAATTGACTCGCATAAATATGTTGCAAATTATCTAAAATTCGTTATCTCATACTTTATACAATACCAAAAACATTAAAGTCAAAAAAATGCTAATTCTTATTTAGTTTGCATGGCATCATTAAGGTGTGACAATTAACTGCTATTGCGGTTTCTTTCCAAGATGTGATTTCTGATTCAATTGACGATTGATCAAATTGATGGTCCAATACCATCAAGTTGTCTTATAATTATAAGTTTTTACACAATTAACAAATAATATATAATTTTCGTTACTTGTCAAGTAACCTATTAAATCATGGAATAATCGAAGAACAAAAGAAGCTTAGTTATGTATTCAAATAATAATAATTGTGATAGTCGCCATTCTTAGAGTACATAATTTAGCATAATACGTAATATTAGGATCATACCAATCTCATTAGTTGTTTAGTTGAAGTATACAAAGAAAAAAGCAATTAATTACACATAAATTATAATTATAATACTTGTGTTTTATTGGTTTTCAATTTACAAAATCTAATACATATTACAACAAAATAAAAAATACATAACACGTAAGTACTATGTATTCTTTGATATAATATACTTCAGAGAGCACATTTATCGCCGATATTTTAAGTGCTCTGTGTTATCTAAACTGTAACATTACATTTGTACCTTTTAAAGATCCCGAAAGGGCAATCGAAACATGGAATTAAAGGCTATAAAAACGCCGTTCTCCATTTTTAATGACAATAGTCTCGTGTCGCAAGCACTATGATAAGTCCCTCGTCTTTCAAGGAGAGAGTTGTGTAAAAGCTGGTAAATGTTGGTTGGTAAGTAAATAGATGTGGGTGAATCAGCAGGAGTCCTAACTCCGTTATTCACAGTACATATAGTGTACCCTGCACTAAAAATGTATCAGTATAGTGCACTTTCGGTGGCAGAAAAGTCAATTCTACAAACAAAACAATATAACTGGATTTATGGGTTTGATATGGTACAAATAGTAAGACTGTTAGCGATACATGGCAACGTCAGGGCTACGGTAGAAACACATATAGGCGTCAGCAAGTAGCCGTTTGGCATGTGTCGGCAGTTGTTTGTCGGTAGGCGCGGACGCGTGGAATGCCCGGCCTCCTTCTTCACTCAACCACGAGCCCAGTTCCTCACAGCTGACGATTTCCGGGATATTGTAACCATTGCGTTCTCCTGGAAATTGATAAGTGTTACAGACGCCGGTTTCAGAGATGAGACCCGTGTTTATTAACGAAATAGGGTTTATTTAAGTTGATACAAAGGCAATTAATCTATCCTATTTTATTCCTTAAAAAAAGCTACGGTAGCCATTATGGCAGTAGCCCACGGCCTCTGCTTGAGAGGCCACTGCTTCGGCTCTGCTTCGAATCCAGTCTCGCACCACTTGAGTGTCTCGGAATTTATGTGCGAAATTTAATTTGAAGTTTATTATGAGCTTTTCGGTGAAGGAAAACATGGTGATGTAACCTGCACGTCGAAGAAGGTTCAAAACCCTGGGGAAACGTGTGAAGTTCCCAACCCACGTTGGGTCAGCGTGGCGAACTACGACCTAAACCCTCACCTGAGAAGAAACCCGTGCCCAGCAGCGGGATGTATAAATGGGTTGATGATGATTTTATTCTTACCATATGTGATAAAAATGTAATACAAAGGTATTGACAACATTATTTAGTGACAAGTCAGTGCAAACCTATCAATTTGAAGCAAAAAATTTTTAATATGAAAAAATATACTTACCCTTTCTATCAGCCATTGAATCAAAAAAGCACCAAGGCGCCTCGTGGCCCACTCCAGCCTTGACGAACGCCACATAATGGCTAGTCTCAATGCAAAGCACTGCGAACAGCTCCATGAACACTCGAGGCACGGGGCACGATTCCAGGATGTTTGCGAATTCTTCGCATACTGTAAGTGGGGTGGGCTGTAAAACAATACCGTTGCATTAAAATGTTAGTTGCTACCCATTTATGTAAATTTTATTTATTAAGCCTTTCTATGTAAATACTGCAGATGAAATAATGGAGAATGATAAGAATACAATATTTCCCATATCGTCGGCTAAATTCAAAAACCTCGCAACGTCATGTGAACTTTTGAGTAGGCACAAAAAACAGAATACTAGAAATATTAGATAACAATTTATGATTATACCTTTTCACGTCTGTGACGTCTACTGTGTTCCGTGGCATGTGTTCTCGTATTTCTCTGTTATCGAATCCATTGAAAATCAGCGTCGTAGACAACACCAAGCCAAGTGGATGGCCGATTCCGTAACAGCAGCATGCACACTTTATAGCTTATCACTCGGTAATTTAATGTTATAGTTATTCGTTTCTTGTTTGTGTGTTATTTGCTTTTATTGGTTTGAAAAAAAAGGTCTACAAATTATGTTTTAAGCTTTAATTGCCCAATATTGCACTTGAGGTTTTCAAATTTAGGCTGTTGCGATTTGAAGCACATTACAGCGTCCTTACCTAGCAGAACATTAATATTAATTTAAGCACTCGTATGTTGCTACTACTATGTTGTTACTACTGATGGGTAAATTTCCGAAAATTTTCAAAAATTCTCGAAAAATTTTAAATATTGGAAAAATATAATTTCAAAGGCTCATATTATGTTCTACGTTTAGAAATATCCTTTGAAGTTTTATTTAGCGTGAAATACAAAATATAATCTTAGTACAGAGTACTAAAAAAACCGACCTCAAAAGTACGTGGAATTACGTCTATTTGCTAAGTTTTATTGAAATATCATTAAATCCGCCACTATACAGGACACTGGAGACAATAAAAATCGGTTCTCACTACTCAAAGTATATGGAGAGAAAAACGCCTTGAATTAGAGAAATAGCAAAATCAACTATTAAAGTAATTGCTCCTTAGTAAAATTTAGGCGCTAATTATAAAAATGATTCTTCATGCGTGAACAGCCACCCTTAGAGGTGGATGATTTTCTTCAAAATGAAAAGAGACCACTATGGAAGTACCCCCTTTCCAACAAAAAAAGAATCATGAAAATCGGTTCTCAAATACCGGAGTTATCGCGTAACATGCATACAAAAAAAAAGTATGTTAGTCGAATTGAGAACCTCCTCCTTTTTTGAAGGCGGTTAAAAATTAAAGTTGTAAAAGCAAGCTAGAGAAAAACGAGATTTATAATGATTGGACAACATCGAAAAGAAACATTTTTATTGGCTGCATCGTTTTTGTTCAGTAAGGTCAACTTTTGACAGGTGTCAACGACAAGTGTGGGAAATATCCGGACAAATACTTATTTTTCTGAAAGATATGATTCTTTTCAAAATGGAAATTTTTCCATGACCCAACAGCTCATAACATTTGTGTCAGAAATATACCTACAATATAAAAAAGACTGCAACATTTAAGAAAAATATGTAGTAATTTCATACGACCAAGTAGAGCAGTTCACGCTCCATCGTCGATTTCATCGACACTTTACGTCAAGTGAAGTGGAGGTCAAATTATGCGCGCTTGTTTTTTAACAAAATAATCTCGGTACAGAGTACAAAAAAAAACCGACCTCAAAAGTACGTGCAATTACATCTATTTGCCAAGTTTTGTTGAAATATCCCCTAGTTCGCCACTTTGCGGGACTTGACACAGGAGATAATAAAAATCTCCGTGTGCAGTTGCTGGTCTGCCATCGGACGCGTCCCCAGGTGGCGGATAGGGGAACGACTCCCAGATCTGGGAGTCGTTCCCCTATCCGCCATCCGTTAAGCCGGTAGGCTTCGGCCGGCGCGGACCAAAACCAGCACTGGGAGGGGAGGAAGATAGCGCAGGTTCTGTCCGGCGCTATCTAACTCGCACCCGAGGCGGTGGGCGGTGTTCGGTCTTAAGATCGGCTCCGGCCAACCCGTAATCCCGCATGGAGCGGGACCGGGGGTCGTCCTCACTGAGAGGAGGGCCGCGAGGAAAAAAACCTCTATAAAAATTACCCCAATCCTAAGCTCTAGCGCCCGGCGATGGGATGAATGGCTGGAGCGTATCCAGCCGTTAGGGCGCCCCAGTGGGGAGCTCACCCCCTCTCAAAGCTCACACGACATGGAACAGGCACGTTTTGAAAATGGTCCCC